GGGGGGCTGCATTTAGCAGGTGCTTGGCTGGTTCTCTTTGTGCAAAAAAATAAAAATAAAGAGCCCAGTCCACATTATTGTCCGCAGGGTGCCTCTGGGGAATCAGGAAAGTTCTGCCAAGACCTTCCATCAAAGTGACAAGCCTCTATTCAACGGGCCTCTCTGGAAAGCAAGGGGGTGGGGTGGGGGTGTGGGGGGGAGAGACTGAAAAATAAATAAATAAAACTCCCAGCGAACGAGCCCCGAATTTCCCTGTAAAAAACGGACATTTAAGCCGCTGAGTTGTCAAGAGCCAAGATCGATGGCTTTTCTTCGGAGGGAGCCTGTTTGAACGGGGCTCTGTTCCAAATTTTGTCTTCTCCCCTCTTTCCCCCCATCCCTTCCCAGGATTTATTTTGCCTGTGAGCAAAAGTTGTGTCTTGTTTTTTTTATATATATTTTTTAATTGGGGGCTACACCGTAATCCTTGTGGGTGGTTTCTTTCTCCCCAGCTGTTAATTGGCCTGTCCAGGAAACAAAAATAGCATTGTGTTTCTAATCATCCCTTTCTCACTTGGGGGCCAGTCTGAGTATCAACGATGGGACCGGCACACCGCAACACGTAGGTGATGCGTCGTTGTGCATCTAAATAAACTCTTAAACGCCCTCGATTCTTTTCCCTTCTGCAAGTTTGCTCGAATAAAAAGTATTTTGATTCTGAATAAAAACAGCTTTCCAGTTTTCCCCTTGTGCCGCTCCAAATATAGATTACATCTCCTGGGAAAGCCCGGGCTTTTATACCTTCCTTGCAAAATGTCCAGGTTGCTCCAAATTACGTATTTATTCTTCCACTGACTGGTTTGTTAGTTTGAAGATCAAAAGATGGTTTATCTCAGCAGTATGTGAGTGTTTAAAAACAACAACAACAAAAAATCAGGGCGTTTTGAGACTCTCTCTTGTATATGTGTCCTTAAGCGGAGGAATTGAACTGGCGATCTTTGGAAGGACAACGTGGAGGAACGTGGTCCTTCTCCAGTATCTCCAGAATCAAAGGTCTTTGGGTGGCAGATGTGCAGAAGGTCTCTTCTCAGATCTTAAGAGAGCCATCTTGTCAGTTAATTCAGATTTATGGCCCACGAAGAAAGCCACCGAGTTGGGGAAAGAGGCCACGGTCCAGCTGTGCTTGGTGACATTCATATTTGACCTGTTTTCCAGATCATAGATCCGTTTGTGGAAGTCGAAGTGATCGGCTTGCCCATGGATTGTTGCAAAGAGCAGACCAGGGTTGTGGACGACAACGGTATGACTCCTCTCCCCTTCATTTTGACTCCCCCTTTCCCGCCATCTCTGTTCTGTGCCTTCTGGTGCTTTGAAGAGTAAGTCGATCCCCTCTTCTCTGTGGAATCTATGGCTGGCTGGGGAATTCTGGGAGTTGAAGTCCACACATATCTATCTATGGCTGGCTGGGAGTTCAAGTCCGCCCATTTTCAGGGTGCCAAAGTTGAGAAACACTGCTCAGTAGATCACTCTTGGAAAGGTCCATTCTCCTGGCTCTTGGTTTTGCAGGTTTCAATCCGATGTGGGAAGAAACCTTGGTTTTTAACATTGGCATGCCAGAGATTGCCCTGGTGCGTTTCCTGGTCTGGGACCACGATCCCATCGGGAGGGATTTTATCGGTCAGAGAACGATTGCGTTTACGTCAATGATGCCAGGTAAGATGCACCTGTTCGTATAACCATGTGTTTTTTTTTTTAATTTTTGTTCCCCTGCATTTCCTCTGAGGCTCTGAGAATTTGCCCGTTAAGGTAGGTCCCAAACAGGCAATAAAGAGGAAATTCTTTGCTGGGTGTGCCCCCAAATCTTTGAAAAAAATCTTCCTTGAAAACCCTGGAGAGACATCTAGTAAGTTAGTCCTTGGAGCATTTGACGTTAGTGGAAGCCACAGAAAAAGGACCACGGATATCCTCCCGTTTTCTCTCGCCCCGTTCCTCCTGCCAGCCATAACCAAAAAAGGCGTCTCCGAATTGCTGGTTATCTCTGCCAACTTTCCTTTGGCTCATCCCCAGATCGATGGGGAAAAACTTCAAAGCATGGATTTATTTTTGGTTTTGCCTTAAAACGAGGCTGTCATTTTCACTGGCAGCCAAAGATTGGCCGCCATTAATGCCAATAATGACGTTACAAGCCAGCTGGAGGAGGAATGCCTGCAAAAATTGGGGGGTTATTAATGGGACTCTTTCCTCCCTCCTTCCCCCCATCCACTCCGTCTCCCCCTTTGGGCACCCGAATGTATGCACATCCGCCAGGGCCTCCCCAGCTCAGATAACACAACACACACACAAACACACACCCCGTCTTTCCATCTATCCCTGTCCTTCATCTTTTATCCTCTTCCAAGCTGAGGAGGAGAGGAGAAGATTTTCAACGAAAGGGGGAGGAAAGACCCTCTAGGTGGCACCGAAAGAGAAGAACGAACAAAAGACACGTGAATTGTGACACTCCGGATGGCTTTCCGGGAGAGCCAGCGAATCAGTTAGAAAATATGTGATTGTCAGCGGGGACTCCGGTCTTTGATAACTGGAGAGAGAGAAAGAGAGAGAAAGAGAGAGAGAGAAGCTGCTTCTGAATTCCACAAAGGAGCATCTCCACTGACAGATGCAATGTGGTCGCAGGATATGAAAGAACCGGCAATAAATTAAACATCTGGAAACTTCTGAGACCCAACTTGCTTTAATGCCAGCACTGAATAAGTGGCAGCATCCTCCAGTAGTTTTGGATCCCCAAGAGACTTCTCTTTATACATATATATATTTGTGTGTGTGTGTGTGTGTGTGTGTGTGTGTTTGGGTGTTTGTCTTCATTCATTCACTCATAATATAAAATACAAAAAACCATCATCACCCTCATTTTAGCCATTCTCCATCCACTGCAGGAGGAAGGCCTCTTTGGCCCGTTTCCAACCAAGACGGTTCTTTGCCAATTGGGCCTGCCCTACTGGGCTGATGTGGTCACTCCATCTTGTTTTAGATCTCTCTTGTGGACGCTTTTGATCAAGCGGGATCCGTTCTAGGACTGCCTTGGTCCACCTGCCGTCCGTTCTTGCTATGTGACCAGCCCGTTCCCAGTTCCATTCTTTCCCTTTTTAGACGGCATCATCTTCTTTCTTAATGGATAATTCCTCCTTAACCCAAGATAAGCTTGGCTTAGGGTGTGCCCGGTTCCGAGCGCCTTCTCTTAGCTTCCTTCTCTTGTCGTTCATTGGCCACCCGTTGTTTTGACACCTCCCTTTTTCTGGATCCTGGTCTTGGCTCAGCTGTCACTTTCACCTGCTCTCCTTCCTCTTCCCTCTCCTTGCAACCAGATCTCCTCTCTGACCATAAATGGGGGAGGTTGGGAGACCCCGGAAGGGATTTTGGGCTAAAGGAGACGAGAAGCCCTCATTCACCCCGCTTTCCTTGCTTCCAGGCTATCGGCACGTCTACCTAGAAGGTATGGAGGAAGCTTCCGTCTTCGTTCACATAGCCGTCAACGACATATGTGGTAAGGTGAGTCATCCTGAAGTCCGAGCCGTGCAAACCTGTCTAGAACCTAAGATTTCTTCCAGATGAGATGGTTGACTTGTCCTTAACGGAAGGAAGAACCAACGGTGCCCCCTTTCTCTGGCATTTTGAAATGATTTCATATCTACGGAGATTCTCCATCATCCAGGTCATGCTGGTCCCCAAGGCTGCATTTCCAAAAGGCAACTGGATTTTCTTAGTTTTTTTTTTTCCCCCTTATCCAAGAAGCTTCTTTGATTCTAACTGAAGAAGTTAGAACCGAAGAAGCTTCTTGGATAAGAAGCGAAACGTTTTCAAGGAAAAACACCTAGAAAGTCCAGTTGCCTTTTGGAAAAGCATCTTTGGGGCTAACACAGATATTTCTGTAATCAGGTGGTTCATATATGCATTTTTTAAAAAAAAAAAAAATCAGTCTCAAAACGATTCTGAGCATGCACTGGGTGCTTTCTAGCTTTGCCCACAAAAACTCAGCAACAGCCTTGGCCAAACCTAATCCTTGCTGCAGTTGTGTGGATTCCTGATGATCAGCTGACCCAGTGCTTTGGGAAATTCTTATCCAGACTCAGAGAGAGTCGTTTTTTCTCAGCTAGTTACACCGCCAGTGCTCCTGTGTTCAAGGGTCTTTTAGCGCTTGAGAAGAAATAATTACATTTCACGTTGCTTAGGAAGGAATTTGTCATTTTTTTTCACTGCAATGATTGACGCGTGCAACGGGATCCGGCATAACTGTGTTAGCAATTTTTGAATATGGTCAGATCACTGGATGTCTCTGTTTAAATGCACGTCAGGAAAAACCTCACCGTTCCGACAAGGGTTTCTTCTATTTTCTTTTTCTTTTCTTTTTTTCTTTTTTAACCCTTTTCCAAAGGCTGGACCTTCAGGAAAAAAAGGTCCATGCTATAGATAGTTGGTTTTTTTTTTAAAATTAATTCCCCATCCAATTTTATTCTCTTCCCACCTCGATTAAAAAATGGCAAGTCCGCTTTTCCGAAATTTCTCTAGCTTTTCGTTGCTTGCAAAACCCAAGCTGACTCTCTTGCGTTTGCGTTTTGGTGAATCCAAGGTTTTCTTGTGCCTGTTTTACCAAAATATCCTATTTGTACTGTACCTATCTGATGGATTTCTTCTGAGGCAGGCCTCCCAATTATCTCCTCCCAGTTACAGAGAGCAGCGAGTTCATCCATCAAGGGATGTGTGTTTGTGCCTTTTTAATCTATTCATCATCATTAGCCAAGCCAAATCAGTGGAAAATAATGCTGTCTAGCGGAAGCAACTCCATTAGGAACCAAAAACAGCTTGCCAAAATACACATAACCTGGTCAGGAAAAGAAACAGAAGCCAAAGTATCTACGAGTTTTCTGTTTTGTCAGTTTGCAAACCAGTTTAGGTTGGGACAGCCATTGTCTTGGAAAATTAAGAAACTTAAGAAAAAAAGGAGAGTTAGGGTCTCATTTATCCATCTTCTCATCCGCATATGTTCTATGATATATCTCAAAATACCAAACCCCCAACTCCCTACTGAATTAAACTACAGGTAGTCCTCAACTTATTGAGCCCCAAATTTATTTTGTAAGCAAGACGGTCGTTAAATGAGTTTTGATCCATTTGACGGCCTTTCTTGCCACCGTTGTTAAGAGAATCACCGCAGTTGTTAACGGTTCTTAAGTGAATCCCGCTTCCCCGTCGACTCGGCTTGTCAGGAGGTCGTCCAAGGGGATCACACGAGCCCCCGGACGCTGCGAACCGTCGTAAATACGAGTCAGTTGCCGAGCATCTGAATTTGGGTCGCCTGACCCGCATGGGTGGGTCTTCAGCAACGGCCTTAAGTGTGAAAAAAAAACACAATCATAAGTCCCTTTTTTCCGGGGCCGTTGTGACCTCAAACGGTCCCTGAATGAACTGTCATAAACCGAGGAGTACTTGTATGATGGAATTCTTTTGGGGTTGGGGGGAGGGTCTTTTTGAAAAGGAAAGCTGGTTTGTTGGCACTTTAGCTCTGTTTGATTTTTCAGCCAGGGGCTGAGAAAGCAGATCTGCGCGTCTGTTCGGAGAGATCCCTTCTCAGCCGATGGGCTCTTCCCGGACAGTCCCCCATTGAAAGCCAAAAAAACGTGTCAGGAGGCGGGGAGGAGCAGGGAAAACGTCCCAAAGAGAACAAGCGAGTCTCTGTCTGGATTTAGAGTTGGCCCATCGGATTCCAGGTGCTGCGAATCCCGCCGGGAAGGAGCCGTGCCGGACGGGCAACGTTGCGTAGCAACGTTTTGGGGGTGTTGTTGGTTTTTTTTGCAAAAAAAACCAACCCTGGCATTAGGCCCCCTTTTTTCTCCTTCCAACAAGGGGAACTGGGAAGGGGAGAAGTTAACACGTTAAGTTCAAGCCTCTTTCCAAATTTCCTTCTTTTCTCCTCTCGGCCAAACATCCGAGGGAGAGTTGGAGGGAGGCCAGTTGGGTCAATGAAAAGAAGGCATCTTGTCTGGAAAATCTTCCGCTTCTAATCCCTCTGGGTCTGGTCCTCAGCGTTAAATGAAATTAAAGAGGGGGGGGCAAAGCTTCCCGGCGGGCCTTGGTGCTCTTCTGCTCCTTCCCTTTCCAACATCCACCAGGGAAAGCTGTGCAGGGTGTGTGTGGGGGGGGGGGGGGAGCCCAGCCCATCATTCCTTTCCACCTTGTACCGGATCAGGCCCCGAATTGGGGTTAGTTGCCTGCAGGGGAGGGGGAGGAAATTTGGTAGCCCCCCCTTTCCTCCTGCAGTTGGCTCATTTTGTGTCGAAAGATTCCCCCAGCCTCTGTCCAAATAAATGTTTCCAGTTTTTCATCAATCCGGGGCGGGGGGCGAAGAGAGGATGGATCGATGCGTTCCTTGGCCAGGAGTCAGTTAGATGCCGTAGCGCTTAATAAACTGAAGCAGGAAGGAAAGGGGAAAATTGGATTTCTTCCTGCCCCCCCCCTCTCTTTCTCTCTCTGTTTGTCTTTGTCTCTCTCTGTTTCTCTCTCGGTCTCTCTCTCTCTGTGTTTCTGTCTCTGTCTGTCTCTCTCTCAGTCTCTCTTTCTCAGTCTTTCTGTCAGTCTCTGTCTCTCTCTTGGTCTCTCTCTCTCTCTGTTTCTGTCTCCCTCTGTCTCTCTCTCTCTCTCTCTCTCTCTGTCTCTTTCTCTCTCTTGGTCTCTCTCTGTTTCTGTCTCTCTCTCTGTCTCTCTCTCTGTCTCTCTCTCTGTCTCTTTCTCTTTCTCTCTCTTGGTCTCTCTCTGTTTCTGTCTCTCTCTCTGTCTCTCTGTCTCTTTCTCTCTCTTGGTCTCTCTCTGTTTCTGTCTCTCTCTGTCTCTCTCTCTCTCTCTGTCTCTTTCTCTCTCTNTCTCTCTCTCTCTCTCTCTCTCTCTCTCTCTCTCTCTCTCTCTCTTTCTCTTGGTCTCTCTCTGTTTCTGTCTCTCTCTGTCTCTTTCTCTTTCTCTTGGTCTCTCTCTGTTTCTGTCTCTCTCTGTCTCTCTCTCTCTCTCTGTCTCTTTCTCTCTCTTGGTCTCTCTCTGTTTCTGTCTCTCTCTCTCTCTCTCTCTCTCTGTCTCTTTCTCTCTCTTGGTCTCTCTCTGTTTCTGTCTCTCTCGGTCTCTCCGTCAGTCTCTGTCTCTCTCACTCTGTCTCTCTGCCTCCCTCTCTCTCTGTCTCTCTCTGTCTGTCTGTCTCTCTCTCTCTCTCACCCTCTCTCGCACAGGGTCTAACCATAAGCTTAAAAGCCCTTTGCCTTTTTTTTAAAAAAAAAAACCTCCAGAAAGTGAATTATGTCGGTGTTAATTAAGTAGAAAAGTAGTCCTGTCAATTGTCCTTCACTTCAAATAGACACAGCCGAAGGTTGTGTGTGTGAGAGAGAGAGGGAGAGGGAGAGAGAAAGAAAGAGAGAGAGAGAGAGAGAGAGAGAGACCTTAGGAAAGAGCTTCTGCTGGACTGGAAGGAATGAGAGCCTGACTCTCAAATGCATTGATTTAGATTATGAGGACTAGAAACTTACTTTCCAGAGAGGCAGGACCATTATTTGATGCTATTCTGGTTTGTTTTTGTTTTTTTGGGGGGTGGGGGGAAACAACATGGACAAACAGCATTGATTTTAATGAACTCGCCTTCGCCCAGAGACAGACACCCAGAGCATTTGAAGCTTGCCTATCTCTCCACAGCAGGCAATTTTGTCCCTTGATTAACCCTCTTTGATCAGCCCCCACCAAATTCCTGCCCTCTTTGATTTCTCCTTCGCCCCCCCCCCTTTTTTTCTACTGCTTGAGTTGCTTCCTGATGGATAGTTTTAATTTGCAGCTGACTGACACGGCCATTTTAAAAAGCTGGCAGCAATTTTTTTGGGGGGGTGCGGGGGACTTGCCGGCTTCCAGTTTGCCCAACACCACCCCGCCTGCATCTCTTTCTGTCTTCAGAAGCCCCCTCCCACTGCAACTCGTACGCTCGCCTTAAGTCCTTCCCCCCTCCCCTTCTCTTTTTCAATTTCCCCAGGTGATTTGTTTTTTGATTGCTTTATCTCTGGTTCTTCCTGTTTTTTTTCAAATCGCTTACCTACCCCTTGTTGTGTTCTCATTAACATTTCTCCTGCCCCTGACTTTGTGGGCATCAATCTACTAATTACGGAGTCTAATCTTTCCAGGGAAGGGATTCCTTCATTTTGGGCAGGTGACCTCTGACCCTGAGCCTAATCCCACTGAATATGGAACCAGACTCAGATCTGCGCAAAGGGGATTATGCTATATCTTTCTGCCTCTGGAGGGGGAACAAAAAAGTCTTATCCAACTGTTGCTTTTTTTTTCCTAATTAGACTCCCTTCATTCCAAATAAAATTTAATTATACAGAAAGGGGACTTTTCACCTGGCTCTCCCCACGCCTTTGAATGAATTTTGAGTTTAGTATGGAGCATCCTTCTGCTAACTGTAAAAAATCATGACATCCTTGGTGAAACACCGTTTTTGAGATTGCCAGTCGAGATGGTTCAAGACCGTTGTTCTCTTTGAATCCACCCGTTTGGTCCATTTGTTTTGGCAACCATCTTTTCAGACAACATCCGACACTTTGTCTGGAATGATATATTGTAGGGTCTCTTGCTTGAGCAGGGGGCTGGACTAGAAGACCTCCAAGGTCCCTTCCAACTCTGTTATTCTGTTATATCAAAGTAGACGATGGTACCCTCTCCCAATTTTAAGCGCTAGTTTCCATGAAGGTGGTAAGTAAACCTAGGACTAGAATGCCTAGCTGAGCAATTGGGGAAGGGGTCTCTACTGCAAAGCCGTCACACTTTTTAAGAATTGTTTGGTACGCTCAGAAAGCCACTCTGTTCTTTTTCTGCTCCCTTTTCTGCCTCCCTGGGGGGGATTGAATAATGTCAAAGTCCACCTTGATTCCTCCTCTGTTTTGTCTCTCTCTCTCCTCCCCCACACCACCCCTTTCGTAGTTTATCCGTGTTTATTTGTGTATGTGGGTTAGGTGCCCGACCCTTTCCTCCATCTCTCTTAGGGCCGTCTCGGATTTTGCTCCTCCTTCTTCTCCCGTGTCTCACTTTCTGCCTTTTACTTCTGTCTTCTGTTTGTGATTGCAGTGGCCTTCTGTGTGTGCAAAAAAGGTCTCCTTTTAGAAGCAGAACAAATTTAGACGCCACAAAGGTACCCCCCCTTCTCCCTTCCTCGACACCCAGGAAGGTGTAGTGAGCTCGGAGCATCACCACGCTTGCATGCTTCCGTCCACCCGAAAACGTCATGAACATTTTTTTGTGTGTGTCTTTCCCCTGATTTAGCTTTACTTATTATTTTTTTTCTCCTCCTCTTGGGGAAAAAAACAACAACAACCGACGACGACACACACATACACCCCAAACTTCCACTCATAACATGGATTGCGACATTTCCCGGAAAGTTTGCCAAGCCATTGAACCTCTAGACTTTCCCACGTTTATCAAGCAGATCCAGGATTCCCCACTGGCTATCCCAATGTTTTGGTTTTTTTTTTTTTTTTTTAAATCCTAATGGCCTTCCTCCGTGTTTCTCCAGGTCGTCCTCGACTTAACGCAACCCCAGCCCCAAGGAGTATCCCCCACCCCTAACGGAACCCACAATTTGTCCTGTGGGTTATTTCACCCTCCGCTGAAGGGTCCCCACCCTGGGCTTGATTCCCCCCGGGTGCAAATATGCTGGATCTTCTTCTTAAACGGCTTTCTTTTCTTTTCTTTTTTCTTCCCCCCCACCAAATTTGCACTGGATTTGGGATCTTGAATCGCTCGTTTGGATTCAAGGGTCAGCGAATAGCCTCACCGGGGGAATGCGTCAAGTGACCTCAGGGGGCTGATGGGAAGGGAGGGAGGGGGAAGAAATATCACTGCACACCACTGCATTCCATCAATGGGGGAGGGGGAGTGTCTTGCATTTCTTGGGAGGTGGGGAAAATCCCTTCCTCCATTATCTGTGTATGTTGTACATGAGAGATTTCTTGCTGATTTATTTTCTGTCTATCTATCTATCTATCTATCTATCTATCTATCTATCTATCTATCTATCTATCTATCTATCTATCCATCTATCCATCTATCTATCTATCTATCTATCTATCATCTATCTCTCATATCTCTCTTTATCTATCATCTATCTATATCTATTATATATATATCTCTATCTCTCTATCTATCTCCGTCTATCTATCTACCTCTCTCTCTCTCTCCATCTATCTATCTATCTATCTATCTATCTATCTATCTATCTATCTATCTATCTATCTATCTATCTATCTATCTATCTATCTATCTATCTATCTATCTATCTATCTATCTATCTATCTATCTATCTATCTATCTATCTATCGGGTTGTTGTCAGCTTGATAGTTGTTCTATGTATTTGCCAACTTACTTCTAGCCCTGATGATGTTCCCTAGTTGGATTATGAAACGTCTGCAAGAAAACCACCAAGCTCAGAGAGCATTAAGGACCTCACAATCCTCCTCCTCCTCTTCCTCCTCCTCTTCCTCCTCCTCCTCCTCCTCCTCCTCCTTCTCCACCACTACCTCTTCCTCCTCCTTCTCCTCCTCCTCATAAACCCTCTCCCTTCTAGCACTGATGATGTCACCTAGTTGGGTCATGAAACGTCTGCAAGGAAACACCCAAGCTCAGAGAGCACCCAGGGCCCCAGATGCTAGAAGGGTTCCAACACTCAGATGGCCCTGTGCAGACGTGGCCTTCCCCATGATCACAGGGGGCAGGGGGGGGAACCATCATTTGGGTCAGGAAATGTAAACAGCTAGGGAAGGGCGGGTGGCTACAGCTGTGAAATCTTGAAACCAAACTGCAATTCCTATCTTCCTCCCAGTTCTGCCTTCCAGTCCAGCCGGGATTAGCCGAGGCTACTCTGAGGTTAAGAACATCTTGCATTATCGCTGCTCGGTGGGGTCTGGTTTGTTTTGGTTTTCTCCCTCGCCCCGCCGGGGAAGAAGCATACCTGCTCTGTGATGGCTTCTCTCCTTCTTCTCCTTCTCCCCCCAGGTCAAGCAAGCGCTGGGCTTAAAAAGTCTCTTTCTCAGAAGTCCAAAGCAGGCCTCGCTCGACAGCCATGTTGCTGGTCAGCTCAACCGCAAACATTCCTTTAGCAGCCAGCTCCTACGGCGGACGGCCAGCGCACCCACCAAGAGCTTGAAAAAGCCCAAGATCGCCCTGGACGCCAGAGACAGCGGCTCGGAAGGGGCCAGCAAGGACTCCGCTCTGGAAGACACCTCCCACCCTCGCTTTGACCAAGAGTCCGACTGCCCGTCCCCCGTGCCCTCTCCTTCCCCAGAGGGGGTCAGCCGCCAGGAAGCAGACCCCGAGGAACCCAGAGGTAAGCCTTGCAGTTTGGGCAGAGAGCAGCGCAGCCGCGGACAGGGCTTCCGGGACGCCACCTTCAGCGAGCCCATCCGGAGAGCCAGCCGGGTCTGCCTCCGGGAGAAGCCGGCCGGCGAGAAACAGGGCCTCTTCACCCGCTGCGCCGGCAACGAACCGGGTAGGATCAACGTGGCCACTTACTGCATGAAGTGTGTGGTGGGCTCCCACGAGGGCCCCGACGTGGAGAGCCAGTGGAGCGAGCCCAGCGGCGCTCAGCCGTCCGCTGGCGAGGCTCCGCCCTGTGGCTGCTGTGGCGCACTGGCAGGCGAGGAGCGGGTGGAGCTCAAACCTTGGGGGATCCGGGAACAGCCCCGAGCGCGCTCCGATCTGCACCTATGCACCAGCTACGGGGCCACCAGGAGCCTGCCTAGAACCTGCCAGCCCTTTGGGACCTCAGGGAAGAAAAAGGGGGATGCCGCGTGTCTCGGGGCCAAGGACCGGTCCTGGCACCGGTGGCGTTCTCCACCTGGCGGCAAATACCGGAGTACCGTCAACCTGGTGGGTTCCAACAACGGGTCGGTGTCCTCCAGCTCCAGCAGCTTAGAGAGCTTGGAAAGTCCCAATTTCTCCAAAGGCTGGCCGGAGAGCGCCCGGAAGCCGGCAGGCACCCTTCAGAGGGAAATGAATGCCTTGTTTTCTGAAAAAATGGAGGAAATTCGCAGTAAATCCCCTATATTCTTTACTGGTAAGAGCAGATCTCCCGCGCCCGACCCGTCCATTCCAGATCGTGCCGTCGTCTACCCGTAGAAACCTCCGCGCTCCTTGTCCCACTGGTTGATGTGTGGCTCGGCCGCTTGAGCGTCGTCCTTGGTTGACCGTCCAAGCATGGGGTGGCCACTTCATTTCTGCTGGGGGGCTTCACTGTAACCAAGTAGTGACCTCTCCCCTGCATGCCAGCCCGTCTCCTGTAGCAAACCTCTGTTGTGCAGGTTGTCGTGGTGTCCCTTTGTGTGTTCAATGCATGCCTGTGATCCGAAATCCGTTTCTAATCCAACCAGATTTGCTGCATCAAGGAAAGCAAAACTTTAACTTGATCCCTGGTCCCTTCGTTGTTTATTACATAAATAGGAATTCTAAAACGGGTTTCCGAGTTCTAATCAACGGCTTCCTTTGGGTTGCGAATCGGGGGTGATGGTTAATGCTAATGGGGTCATTTTGAGCTAAGAACACGGGGTTGGACTAGAAGACCTCCGAGGTCCCTTCCAACTGTGTCATTCTCTATTCATATCTCAGTAGATTTACAATTTACATTATCATCCGTAATCCTGGCTTTTCCCCCCCAGCTCTTTCTCTTGGGCGTCTTCTGGTTGGTCAAAAGCGAATTCTCGGGATCGGCACGTTGAGTCACTCTCATTCCTTCTCCCTAATTTATTCTCTATCCCTGAACTAACTGGGTTTTTTCTTTCTTTTTTAAAATTTTCCCTCTTCTTTTGGTGTCCTGTTCCTCACGCCCTCTTTTCCCGCGTAGTTAAGAACTGAAAGGATGATGGAGTCCCAGGTAACTGATGAACTTTGCTGTTGACTTTCTGTCGTGCTTTCCTTCGCCTGCTTTGAGCCAGCGTGGCTGGCTCGGGAATTCCGGGAGTTGAAGTCCACAGGTCCTAAAGGCACCATAGTTCCCTACCCCTTGCTCTACGGTTTCCCCTTCCCGGCTTCACACTAATTGTCTGAAACTTTTCCTGCATTGAAAGAATAGGAAAGACTTGTAGCTTTTTTTTTTTTTTTAGATTTTGCCTGCGGTTTGTTCTCCAAGCTCGTCTTAATATAATTCCTGAACGTCTCGTTACCAAACTACATAACGTCATCAGCAAGATTTCCTTGTCCTGTTTTCCTTAGCTCATAAGTGTCTTGTGTGCCAGTGTGGTTAGTTGGTCTTTAAAGCTACTTTTCCTGAATGTTTGTTTGTTTGCGGAAAGAACGGCTTGTTCCCTCCGTGCCCGCTATAGTTATTTCGTGCAATTTTAGCTTTCTCAGGGTGGTGCCTCCAAAAATATTCCTAGGGCAGGGGTAGGCCACCTTGGCTCTTTTATGACTCGTGGACTTCAACTCCCAGAATTCCTGAGCCAGCCTGGCTCAGCTTGGAAACCTCTCCCTCTCCCCTCAGCGTGGCTGGCTCAGGAATTCTGGGAGTTGAAGTCCACGAGTCATAAAAGAGCCAAGGTTGCCTACCCCTGCCCTAGGGGAATTTTGGGAGTTTTGTGGAGGTGGCACAACAAAACCCTGCTAGGTGTAGCAAAGTGTCAGGGTTTGTTCTGTGTGAAGTAGTTCTAGGTAGGAGAAGTTATTTGGCGTTTACTCATCCCCGGATTTCTTTTCTGTCTTCCTCCAGATGTCCACCAGTTCTCCAGGCACAGGTCGGTCCCTTCCTTACGCAACCTGCAGACCATCCACGAGGAGCCTTCCGGCTTCTACTTCCCTCCGCCCGCCCACCTCGTCAGGGATCCCAAAGAGGAATCTGTGCCTCATCCTTCCCAGGAAGCTGTCCCAGATGGGAGGGACCACCCCGGGCCGCTGAAGAGAACTTCCCCTGTGCAGCCTGTGGTTTTGGAGAAGACGCTTCTCGTTCCTAGAGCCTCGGACGAGGAAGAAGGGATGGGAAGCACCCAAGAAGGAGAGGCCTGGGAAAGAGCTCCTTGTAACGGAGGCCTTCTCCTTTCACAACTTCAGCACAACCTAGTGTTCGACAATCGTTGGCTCCATCCGGCTGGGAACGGCCAGAAGAAGATGGATAGGCTGGTTCAACAGCCGGCCGGCGATGAGACGAACAGAGCTGGGCCACCGCACCAAAGCGAACGGGGAAACAGCGCCACGCCAACTCCACTTCACACAACCCCCCGAGGAACTGCCGGAGTCCCCACGCCTCAGACGGTCGCCAGGAGATCAAAGAATGAAGGATATAAAGTGGGTGACCGTGTAGTCTCCCTGAAGCATCCTGACAAAGGTTCTCCTGCAGCGGAAGTCTACTGGGATGCCACGGTCAACGACCGGATCTGGAGCAAGCTTGACTTCAGTGCCCACAGGGACAGCATGTCCTCTTCCTCCAGCATGTCCTCTAACGATACCGTAATAGACCTCTCCTTGCCCAACCTGGCCCGGGAAAGCCTCCCTGACCTGGGTGCTCGTAAGACCTTTGAGGTCCTCCCCGACCGAAGAATCGCCAGGCCGTGGTCGGCCAACGCCGCCTCCGGGCGCGAAACCCCCACGGTGACCAAGAGCAAATCTAACCCCAACTTGAGGTGCGATCAACCCGTGGAGGACGACGACTTGCGCCCGAGGCCGCTGGGATTCTCTTCTGTCTCCAGAAGGCACACCTGGAACCGGCTGTACGTGGAGAGCCTCAAGCGGCCTGGCCCCAAGTCCGAAGAGCAGAAGAGCCCCGATGCCAACCACGGGAAGTCCAAAAGCCTGGGAGATCTCACCTCGGACGACATCACGTCCACTCTGGAGAGCAAGTACCACAGCATCCGCCGCAGCTTTGCCACCCGCTCGGTCAGGGCCTTCAAGGCTTCGGGAAGGCCCGCGGACGAGCTGACGGAGCGCCTGCGGAAGCTCACCTTCTTCCAGCAGGAGAACGACATCACTTCCCCCACCTGCCTGGAGCCCGCCAAGGCTGAGAAGGAGGAGGAAGAAGAGGAAGAGGAAGAGACCGTCCTGATCCGAAGGTCTTCGTCCCGGAGCCAGAGCAGGGTGAGGTACATCGCCAACCGGGCCAGGCAAGCTCAAGAGAGGCAGAAGCTGAGGAGTCTGGCCTTGGGCAAGGGGAGTCCCATTGAGGAGCGAGGCGTCCCTGAAGGAGCCTGCTGCTTTCCAGGGGGGCCTTACCTGGACCCGGCTGCCCCCGGCTTGTTTACATCCCAGCTCAAGAACCCAACGGACTTGAACCCCGACGCCGAAGTCGTCTTTACCTTCAAACTCTGACGGTGGGAAGGGCTGAACCCAGAATCGATGTTTACATTGCTGTCGGAGCAAAACCAACGACCCCTGTCCCTCGTTTTCTTAAAAATATGGAGATATATATATATATATATATGCCTAGTGCAGAAGACCCTCGTTGAATGAGGGAGGACTCTCCTCCTCCTCCTCCTTCTCCTTCTCCTCCTTCTTCTTCTCCTCCTCCTCCTCTTCCTTCTCCTCCTCCTCCTTCTCCTCCTCCTTCTCCTCCTCTTCCTTCTCCTTCTCCTCCTCCTCCTTCTCTTCCTTCTCCTTCTCCTCCTCCTTCTTCTCCTCCTCCTTCTCCTCTTCCTTCTCCTCCTCTTCCTTCTTCTCCTCTTCCTTCTCCTCCTCCTCTTCCTTCTCCTCTTCCTTCTCCTCCTCCTTCTCCTTCTCCTCCTTCTCTTCCTTCTCCTCTTCCTTCTCCTCCTCCTCCTCCT